CTTCGGAGGTCCTCCAGTGAAAGGGCACCCAATCGGGCGTCGGCGTCTTTCACCTGGCGGCCAAACTGCGATTGCAGCTGGCCCCCCAGCCCGCCTCCTGCTCCTCCCTCCTCCTCATGCGTATGGGACAGCCAAGAGGTACCGATACCGCTACTCCCCAGACCTTGCCTGGGGTGCGTTCTGACCTGGATTTCGAAGCGAACCCAGCGGTGGCGACGAGTGCCTCCCAGGAGGCCCAAGAAACGGAACATGAGGAAAGGTAGCGGCATGGGTACCTTTCCCTCCTCTGAGCGAAGTTCGAATACCCTCTCTGTGCTGTTCGTTCTCGTGGGTAGCGCCGCCGGCCCTTCCTGGGGTCCTTCCTCCCTCTTCCCCCTCCTGTTTTGCGCTGCGCCACCGTAGGCTGGCGTGGGCCGTTGCATCTTTCCTCCACCTCTGCCTCCTCTGCCCTCGCCAGCTTCGACACACGTCCCTCACATGTCTCGTGCCCCACAGGAAGCTCCACCGATGTTGGAGGAGGGAGAGCGGGGAGGGAGGGAGGAATGTTAACGATGATGCTGCTGCTGATGGTGATTATGATGCTGATGATGATGTTGATACTGCTGCTGATGATGATGCTGATGCTGATGCTGATAATAATGATGATGATGACGCACGCGCTGAGGAGAGCGCACGCGCGAGCATGGTGGTGATCGGTGATTGATGACGGTTGGTGATAGGCACAGCGTGATGGCGGATTCGATGGAGATGACGTGATTGCGATGGAGGAGGGGGAGTGAGGAGGAGGTAGGAGGAGGAGAGGAGGGAGGAGGAGTGGCGGAGAAAGATGAGGAGGAGGAGGAGGAGGAGGAGGAAAAGATGCGGAGGAGGAGGAGGGGGGGGGGAGGAGGAGGAGGAGGAGGAGGAGGAGGAGGAGGAGGAGGAGGGAGGAGTATGGCAAGGGCGGCTGGAGGGGTACCCTCGGTTTCGGTCGCACTTGGGCGCCGCCGCCAAGCCCGCACTCTCTTCGGCAGCCCGCCCCCTTTGAGGGGGAACGTCGGGAGGGGACCTGCTCAAGGGGGGGAAACTCAGGCCTCAATCAGCGACACGTCGCCGATGGAGCAGCGAGTGGCCCTGGAGAGCGAAACTGCGCATTCCTTGGCAGGCTATTGGGCCCCCGTCGGCGTTGAATGGGCGGTTGGGGCCATCGGCGAGCATTGGGCCATTTTGACCACCTACCAGACCACCCCAACCCAACCCGAAAACCATAATTTCGCACGAATTTCAGGTTGTTTCCATGTTCCCCGACCCCCCCCCCTCCCCTGAAAATGGAGGGCAAATCGGGGCCTTCGGGTTGGGTTGGGGTGGTTTGGTGGGCGGTGACATTTGGGGTCGATGCAACACCCCCTGAACCTATCCCCCCCTAACGCTGGCCCTGGTGCTGGACTTCTCCCTGGGCGCGTTCTGGCCAGAGCTTCGGGGCGAACCCAGCGGTAGCGACGAAGGCCTCCTTGGAGGCCCCGCAAAGTCGCAAACGAGGCCGGGGAAGCAGGTATCGCTACCACTTCCCCCTCTGATCGGAGAGACGTAAGACCCAGGTAGGGGGGGCTCGGGTTGGCCGCACGGGGGCCATCATGAAAACGACGAGACGCAATCTGAAATCTGACGCGGGCTCCCGCTGCAGACGTCCCTCGAAAAACGGACCGCCCACATCTGGGACGCGCTCGTCAACAATCTTCGCAGGCGCGAGTTCCGGCTTGCTCGAGTCTTGCGTTTCCCCGATCCGAAGTGCACCCCCCGCCAGCGAATTGCCGCGCGCCTCCCCAGCACGCTCTCTGCAGCGCCCTCGCCGAGGGGCGACCTCGGGCGCGGGCCCGTCCTGCAAGGGCGCAGCACGAGGCCGGGGTAGCAGGTATCGCTATCGTTTCCTCCTCTGATACTCCAGATTTCGTACTAAAAGGGAGGGGGTCTCAACCCTCCCAGACGAGAAGTTTTAGACCCCCCCCGTGGGAGAACCCTCCAAAACATCGTCCCCAGACCCCCCAGGCCCTCCAAGATAGGCTGGAAGAGACCCCCCCCGAAATGAGACCCCCCTCCATTTATTACGAAATCTGAGATGCACTCCCCGCCAACGAATTGCTGCGCGCCCCCCCTCTGCAGCGCCCGCGCCGAGGGGGCGACCTCGTGCGCGGCCTCGTCTTGTAGGGGGCTTCTCCCGCCGTGTGCGCCCGCGGCCGCAGGGGAGCGCGGCCTCACCGCGTACTGACCCCCCTCCCTCTCCTGACGTCTGGGAAGCCAATCCCTGCTCCTTCCTCCCTCCTCCCTCCTCCTCCTCCTCCTCCTCCTCCTCCTCCTCCTCCTCCTCCTCCTCCTCCTCCTCCTCCTCCCCCCTCCCTCCTCCACCTCCCTACTCCCTCCTATCTCCTCTCTCATCCCCCCTCCTCCTCCCTACCCCTCCTCCCTTCCTCCTCTCCCTCTCTCCTCCCTCCTCCCTCCATCCCTCCTCCCTCCTCCTCACTATCCTCTCCACCTCCTCCACCTCCTCCTCCTCCTCCTCCTCCTCCGTGATCCTCCTCTGGCCCACCTGCGGCCCGGAGCCACTCTGGTGGTCCACGGCCCTGGGCCGTCGATGCGCCTCTCCGGGCCCCAGGATGCGGGCTCGCCCCCTCTCAGCCCCTGGCCTGTCCACGGCCCCGAGCCACGGGTGGACCCGTGGCCGCAGACGGGGGGAGGCGTGCGGCCCTGAACCTGGGACTCTACAGGATTCGGCCTGACCTAAGGAACGATAGATAAGGAACGAAGCCCCTTTTTTTCAAGGAACACGTGGGAAGCGCGCCGCCAACAAGGTAGCGGAACGCATGCAAACCAAAGGATTGAAAATAAGTGCTCCTTATTCAAGCCGGATCCGGAACAACCGGGACGGCGACGGCAACGACCACCAATGTTTCTCCGGCTCCTTTTGAAAAATAAGGAACGACCGAGCCCCTTTTGAAAAATCAATGTTCCTTATTCGAGCCGGATCCGGTACAACCGGGACGGCGACGGCAACGGCCACCAACGTTTCTCCGGCTCCCCGCCGCCCCCGCTGAACACCCGCTCCCGACTGCGGGCGGGGCCCCTCACCACCATTCGGGTGACCAGGTCGACCGCCAGCGGGTGGAGGCCTGGGCGCGGGGCCGGCGGCCCAGGGGCGACATGTCAGCAGCATCCGGGAGAGCACGGCGGCGTGACGGTGGGGAGTGAGCGGAGGGGAGCGGAGGGAGACAGCAAGGGGAAGATGCCCTGAGATCCTGACGTCGCGATGTGCGTGGCACCCCTTCCTGGCGCTTCTGCCAGGTTTCGGGCCCCAGGACCCTCACGGATCGATCCAGCTCGCAAAGTGTGGCAAGAAGATTGGGTCTTGGGCTCGAGTCGTGATTTCTCCGATGTTGCACTTGTTTCGCGATGTTCGATCTCATGGTAGTGGCAGGGGGAAGAGCAGAGGGAACGGACGATGGGACGCAAAATGAAGGAAGCAGCAACGACGGGAAATGAGGAGTAGGGTTAAGTCGGGCGTGCCCCTCTATAGGCGGATTTTGGTGGAAAAAAAAATGAAAATTGACAAACGAAATCCAACATGGTCAAAAATGGTAAAAATGTCCCCAGAGTATGTTGTACTATGTTGGAATATTCCTCCTGTAGAGGGACAGGCCCGACTTAAGGCTACAGGAGAGAGGAGGGACGGGGGAAGAGTGGCGAAGGGGCACCGGAGGGGCGCGAGAGAGCAGGGCGTGGATGGGGGGGAGCCTTTCTGCCTCCCCTGATGGACAGGGACGCTCTGTCAAGAAACGCCGTTCGCCAGGAATCCCACCAGCCCCCTGGGCGCAGGTGGTCTAACGATGACTTTCCTTCCTCTTCCAAAAAACCCTCCTTCCCCTTCGGCGAGAGATTTACCCCTCTCCCTGCCCCCTCCCTTGGACCTGGACGGGAGGGGCCGCGATCGGCTGGAGCGTCCAAGATCGGCCCCTGGGAGGACTAATTTCTGACACCGCTCACGAGGATCGTGGCCCCCGAGGGGGGGACCTCTGTCAAGACACACCGATCGCAAGGAATAGCACCCCCCTGTTCGGCGGCAGCCATCAGGAAAGACGGGGCAACACACTCGACCACGCTTCCGTGGGCGGTCGAAACGGATCCACTGCCCCAGCTGGCCATCGCTCGGACGTCCATTTCCTGTGTTTTTTTTCGGTTTCGTGCGTGTTTTTTTCGCCAGATGGTCGAGGATGCTCCTCGAAGGTCCTCGCCGAGAAAAAAAAGGCACACGTCCGAGCGATGCCAAGCCGGGACACACCTCCGCAGGATGGATGGGGGGGGCGCAGATGTCGTACTGCCCCTCCTGGTGCTCCGACGCCCATTCTCCTCAGGCCTCCTCCATCCTTCTCCCCAACCTGCCCTGTCCACTGCTCGTAAGTCGGGGCCGGAGTGGAGGCAAACTTGGGGGCCTCCGCCGCAACCCCAGCGGATGCCGGCCTGGAGGCATCGGCAGGTCCATGGCCAGCACCCTCTCCATCACGAGGTACTCCGACGCCGCGTGGAACGGGGGGCAGCCTGGGGCCCCAGGGTTAGGCAACCACATGTGAGCCCTGCCCCTGCAGTTTAGATTTCTGAAGAAAGAACGGTCTGGGATTCAGAATTTGAAGGATGTCTACAGCCAAGAGACCTTCAGTGGGGTGTCCGATACCCCAGCGCCAATTGGACTTGCAGGGGTGGGCTTCGATGGCCGCCGTAGAATGGTGTGCCCGCCTTGCGTGTGTTCCTCCCCCCTCCTCCTGCTCGTCGCTGCCTCTGTGCGTGACCAGGCCAATGCTGTGCAGGAACGCGTTGACCCTCTCACATGGCCGTATTCAGCTAATAATTAATGCACCTGGTGTCACAGTCGTCGTTTTCCTCCTCCTCCTCCTCCGCCTCCTCCTCCTCCTCCTCCTCCTCTCCCTCCTCCCACTCGTGGTGTCGTTTCTCGTTTCTCGTTTCCCCCCCTCCTCCACAATTACACAATATGAAAATACTCTCCCACTTCCCCTGATGGCGTCCGGAAGATATTCGGCACCCCCCCGCGTACTGTTTTTTTACACACAGGATTCCCCGGAGTTGGGTTTTCGCTGGTGTTTTTTTCTAAAATGTTGCTTTCGCTGAGGCGCTGGCCTAATTTTCTGCTACCGAATCGTTCCGAATCGTGCTCCCGCGCAGCGTGAGGCCTCATTTTCGGATCGTGTTTGCCTCCGGTCGTTTGAGGATGGCGTTCTCGCCCCAGCGCGGGCCTGTTCTCGCGCGCCCAATCCGCCCGGCCACCACCGCGCCGCACCACCAGCACCAGCACCAGCACCAGCAACAGCACCAGCACCAGCACCAGCACCAGCACCAGCACCAGCACCAGCACCAGCACCAGCACCAGCACCAGCACCAGCACCAGCACCAGCTCCAGCACCAGCACCAGCACCAGCACCCGCACCAGCACCAGCACCAGCACCAGCACCAGCACCAGCACCAGCACCAGCACCAGCACCGCCACCACCACCACCACCACCACCACCACCACCACCACCACCACCACCACAACCACGCACTCACGCACGCACGCACGCACGCGCACCACCACCCACTACGCACGCGCGCGCGGAGCCACAGGTCCGCTACGACACGCGTCCGCGGATAGAGAAAATCAGCGCCATGGTAAGGGATGGGACGGAGGGGTAGGACGTCAGATATGACGCGAGCGCACCTAGCTTGTCCCTCCTCCCCCTCCCCTTCACCCTCCCCCCCGATCCTCGTCCTCCTCCTCTTTCCTCATTCTTCCCCGCCCTCCTCCCCCCTCCTCCTCCCGCTCCGTTCCTTCTCCTCCCCTCCCCCCCCCCATCCTTCCTGCTCCTCTCCCCTCCCGCATCGCGGGCTGGGCGATGACCACCACCCCCCAAACCAACCACCAACCCTACGCAACCTGTCAACCACCTCTCTACTCACCCCCCAACACAACAAAACACCACCAAACGACACACTCCCCCCAAACCACCACCACAGACAACTCTTCCACGCACTCACTACGGCGTCGCTCCGCAGACCCAGTGGCCCTGCGGGCTGAGGCGCGGGGGCGGGAGGGCCTGTGAGCACCTGGTAGAACAGGCAGCCGGTGGACCAGGTGTCCTTCGAAGACGAGGACGACAACAACGACGACGACGCTGACGACGACTACGACGTTGACAACGGCTACGACGGCGACGACGACGACGACGGCGGCGGCGGCGACGACGACGACGGCGACGACGACGACGACGGCGGCGGCGGCGGCGACGACGACGACAACGACGGCGGCGACGACGACGACGACGACCGCGGGGGGCTGGGCCAGTCTGCCGGAAGCACACACGCTGGCACCACCCATGGGCCATCTCCAGAGGCAGCTCCTGGGGAGGGCAGCGCGAGCACGACGAGGGGCCAGTGCGCCCGACGGAGGGGCCCTTCGGCCATACGGAGCTCGATTGAGCCTGGGACAAAGCCCGATTGAACGGGATTCAACCGAATGCAGCGGAAATTTGGTGGATCAGGCTGGTTTTCGACAGCGGCGTTCACCAGCGCCGATGCTGACCTCACCTTCCCAGCAGGAGTTGCATCCTAAACTAGTGGGGGAGCAAAACCAGTACCAATGACGCGCCGCTGAGGGGAACCCATCAGCGTGTTGCAGCTGAAGATATACCAGGCGTTCGGACAAAAGAACGAAGAAACAACACGCTGGCGGGATCACAGACGGGGCGTGGCATTGTTACTCTTCTTCCTTCCCGAACTATCCACGCGCACCCGTCCTGTCCAGACCAGCTCTGATCCCGGGATGCGTGGATGCGCCCATCCCCGCCCTTGCCCATCTAATCCCATGAACACTGTGGGCGTAGGTAGTTGATCGAGTTCGTTATTCCAACTCGTTGTTCTTCCCCTTCGTGGATGGTTGAATCCCACCCCCCTACTTCCTCCGCCGGGTCTGAGCTCTTCCCCTTCAATGTGTAGGAGGGATTCACTGGCCGAAGATGAAGATGGCCCCAAGTAGCCCAATGTAGTTCCATATGACCTCCCGCATGCATTCAAGATGCACCAAGACCGCCCTGAGACGGCTCGAAGTGACCAAGGAGCCGCTCGAGGCGGCCCCCGAGAGGCCAAACTCCTTCCAAAGCCAAACGAGCATTACTGGATGTTGCCTCCTCGCCTTTTCGCTGCCGACGGTCCTTGAATGATTTGAAAAGGCTCCACGATGGCAGAGAAGGGCCCCAAAAGGGGCCGAAGAGAGGATTTCAGGTTGTCAACGAGGGAAGGCTGCTTAAGCACTCCGCTGCAAGTCAAAAAGTGAACTCCTCATCTAGAAAACCTTGTGTTTGACAGATTTGGGCATCTCGGGGGCATCCTTGGAAGGCGTTTGGGCCAAGATAGCTTCAGAGAGTTCAAAATGGCCTCCAAGATGGCTCAAGGTAGCCTCCGACACGCCTCCAAGATGCCCCAGGACCTCCCTAAGACGGCTCCAAGTGGCCACGGAACCTCCCGAGGACGCCCTCGAGAGGCCAAAACCCATTTCAAACCCGAAGATCATCAATGAATGTTGCCTGCTCTCGTATTCGCTTCCGACCGTTTTTTTTGAGGCCCTCAGATGGCTCCAGTACGGCCCAGTGAGCCCCAAGAGGGGCCCACGAGGGCTCCAAGACGGCCCTCAGAGCGCCCCGAGAGGCGATGTGTCTGTCCCTGACGGGGCAAGGGCATAGCTCAGACCACCCCTACTTTGACCGATGGCCTCCGA